TTTGGTAGTGAACTACGGTTGCCCAGCGATTTAAAATTTGGAATAACTGGCGATGCGAGAAGAATTGGAAAGATAACGTCTACCCATCTCGAGGAAGTGCTAAGATAGCTGCATGCTCTTGTGAGACAACGAACTCAAGTAATGAGTGACAAAATGAAGGTCAGGTATGACAAGGCAATGAACTCCGAAGGTTTCCAAAATGGAGATTTGGTGTTGCTGTACAATCCACCACGGAAGAGAGGTTTGTCCCCAAAACTTCAATGTAATTGGGAAGGTCCATATAAGGTAATCAAACGACTAAACGACGTAGTGTACCGGATCCAAACCGTTGGGAGTCCAAGAAACAAGATGAAAGTGGTCCACCTGGAGAGGCTTGCTGAGTTTGGAACAGCGAATGTGTCTGATCGGGACGATCCGACTTAGGTGGAGGGCAGTGTTGCGAAAATGCGAGGCGAATGTCAGATGAAAGAGAGAAGCCGATAACTAGTACATTCTAGAAACGATAAAACGAGAACCTTCGATAGCGGACAACTCGATTATTCTACATTTTCGTCTACGAGCAGCCGATCGCTATATAAGGGCGACACTCGGCTGCCAAGTTACAAAGTGAACTCGTGGGCGTTAACATCGGTAAAGTCGTAAAGTAAACGCGTTGGAGATTACATTTAAGTAAAGTAAATTGTGAAAGTTGATGCTAGTGATTGTAAATAGTAAAGTGCATTATAATTGAATTGTTAATTATTGAGAAAATAAAGGACACTAGATTAATTCTTTATAACGAAAGAAACCGCAAATAAAGTTAGCGAGTTTTATTTAACGATCCAGAGATCGTACCCGAAGGATTCAGGAAATAATCGAGGTTGATTTAGCAAAATCGTAACAATACGTTCTTTGCCTAGACGGAATTGGGCTGTTAATGAAACACATCTACAATCTACAGATTTGCCCTTTGCCAAGCGAAATCATAAAATTCACGATAGATGTCGCAACATTTAAGTTGAGCTGTCAAGCAGTGCACTTATTGATCAATCCAAATACGATATGGCAGGAGCCTTGGTGAGGATAAATTTTCTTCAAAAGCCATCATTGGGTAAGAATTTCATTGTTTGAAACAATTGAAGGACCTGCGGTGACTTGTATCATTGGCGGTGCTGAAAAATTTTATACAAGTATATGTTTTGCAAGTCAAAATATATTGTGTATGTTATGTAATTTAGTGACAACTACGCAGTTTCTTATTCACTGAAAAAATTATAATTGCCTACAACTTTATTATATATATGTATTTTAGCATGCACGAGTTTGCCCTCTGTGGCACAGCTTCGTTTGCAAGGTACTTCATCGCCACCAGGTACACCACCTCCTCAAACCAAAACCAAGTTTGGAAATCTCGCCGATCAAGACCGTGTTTTTACCAACTTATATGGACGACACGATTGGCGGCTTAAGGGTGCTTTGAAGCGCGGAGATTGGTATAAAACCAAAGAAATATTGTTAAAAGGTACGGACTGGATCATCAATGAACTAAAAACTTCTGGACTTCGAGGCCGTGGTGGTGCTGGCTTTCCGTCTGGAATGAAATGGTCATTTATGAATAAACCATCAGATGGTCGACCAAAATACTTGGTTGTAAACGCTGACGAAGGTATTATTGTGAAATAACGTTTATATATATAGGTTTTAAAAAATATTTGACTACAAAACAGGTGAGCCAGGTACTTGCAAAGATCGTGAAATTATGCGGCACGATCCTCACAAGCTTGTAGAGGGTTGCTTAGTGGCCGGTCGAGCAATGGGTGCTCGTGCTGCTTACATATATATTCGAGGAGAATTTTACAATGAGGCATCAAATATGCAACTGGCTATAGCAGAAGCCTATCAAGCGGGTTTAATTGGTAAAAATGCATGCGGTTCTGGATACGATTTCGACGTATTCATGCATCGTGGTGCTGGTGCTTATATCTGCGGAGAAGAAACCGCTTTAATTGAGTCACTTGAAGGCAAACAAGGAAAACCTCGTCTAAAGCCTCCATTTCCAGCTGATGTTGGTGTTTTTGGATGTCCAACTACTGTAAACAATGTAGAAACAATAGCAGTGGCTCCTACTATTATGCGACGTGGTGGAGCTTGGTTTGCAAGTTTTGGACGTACACGTAATTCAGGAACAAAACTGTTTAATATATCCGGTCATGTAAATAAACCTTGCACAATAGAGGAAGAGATGTCGATTCCTCTTAAAGAATTAATTGAACGTCATGCTGGTGGAATTCGTGGGGGTTGGGATAATTTACTTGGAGTAATTCCTGGAGGTTCTTCAACACCGGTCATTCCAAAAAAGGTTTGCGATGACGTCTTGATGGATTTTGATGGTTTAATTGCTGCACAAACTTCACTTGGAACTGCAGCACTTATTGTTATGGATAAATCAACTGATATAATTAAGGCTATTGAACGTTTAACCGCGTTCTATCGTCACGAAAGTTGTGGGCAGTGTACACCATGTCGTGAGGGCATTATGTGGATGCACAAAATTATGAAACGGTGAATATTGTAATAATTCTATCAAAAAAAAAAACAAATTAATCCAAAAAATGTTTTCATTTCAGTTTTGTTGCCGGAAATGGTCAACCAGAGGAGATAGATATGTTATGGGAAATATCCAAACAAATTGAGGGTCATACAATTTGTGCTCTTGCTGATGGAGCAGCATGGCCTGTCCAAGGATTGATTCGACATTTCCGACCTGAAATCGAGGAAAGAATGAAGAAATACGCCGTTAGGGCATCAAATTAATTAGCACCGTATACTGTGAATAAATATATATGTTACATTAAAACGTTAACGCAGAAGAAAAAGCTTGATATGTTAACACTAAAACTTCGACACTTTTTAAAAGTTGGCTCCAATACCCCTAATATGCTGTATCCGACTATTAAACGTTCTGCACCTACAAAGTTTATGAAATAAATACCATTAAGTTGCCACAGCCCATTGTTTGGTTCCCGCTTTCTTTCTTTTTTTTTTATAAAAGAATGTATCACTATTTAAGTAAAAGAAAGTGAACGGTACCTTTGCTTATAGGACATATTTCTGACCCAGAATTTTATGGGCCTTCATTTTAACATGCAAATGGCTGATATAATTGCACTGATAAATAAATTGAAATTTTCTTAAATGAAAAATATTTGTATTTGTATGTAGTATTTGTATTTGTATTGAGTGTAACTGCAAGAACAGATTTGTGGGTAAAATCTAATACAAAATGGAATTCAAAAAGATTTTAGCATTATATCTCGAAAATCAAAGAAAAAATTAATTCAAAGAAATTGCTTGCATTTCACAATCGTGTTTGAAAATATCACAAAATAAATTTGAAAATTAGTAAGTGTAAGTGTTTTATACGGTGTGATGCCCAAACTTTTTATGATAATTTACATCAAAAAAAAAATACTACAAAAATTTTCTTTAACGCTACTTGAAAAAATTCTTTTTAAATAAAATACACTCAATATAAAGTTGACAAAAAAAGATTTTTTGACATATGTAATTTTCATGTAATTTCAAGATATTGCTATTTCAAAAATATTTCATTAATTTTTTACAAAAAATGCTTAAGCCTCCCGAAAATAATCTTATTTCTATTAGATTTCAGAAAATACTATGCAAAGCCTTTGAGTTTTTTGTGAGTACGTTTTATTTTTCTTCACTTTTTTGTTTACATTAAAGGCTTTGCCAATTTTTATGTCAGATATTTAATATTTGTGAAAAAATGTTTGAGTGAAAGTACCTTCTATTTTGTATCATGATGCAGACTATACTGTTAAACAGTGTTTGTATAAAATAAAAAAATGTTTCAATTCTTGTACTATTTTTTCAATGAATTATTAGATCTGTTCGACGACTAGATGGGCAGTAACAATTTTTACTGAACTTTACTGAATCGTATTCGTCGAGCCAAAAATCAAAGAAAACACTCTAAAATTTGTAAAGAGCGCAATTCCGCGTTTAGTTTGAAGAGAAAGTTGCCAGTTGATTTGTGATCATATAATTGAATTTTGTCGACAAAACAAAATTGATTTAAAATTTAAATAAATTTGATTTTTTAATAATAAAATAAGTGATAAATATAACTTTGTTAAAATAAATTAAATGATATCAATGATTGCATTAAATAGTTAAGGTGGCATTGGAGTAGAATCAGAAGCTCGCATACCACCGAGCCCTCGTTGATAAATTAAAAGTTGGGAATGTTGAAGGCATACAATTTTTAATCCAACGCAAATTAATTTTGGCTTTCTATAATTTACGAGAAGGCAGTGTCGGCCAAATAAGCCGCAAAACATTGCGAAGCAAGGTTGTTGTAACTTTCGCAGTGACAAACTGAAATATTAGTCACCTGTAACGGCTAGAAAACGTGTACAAATTTCATCATTGTTGAAATATAATTAATTTCGAGGACAGTTAAAAAATTAAAAATGCTATATAATTTCTAATTTTATTAAAATGCTTAAGAGCAGAAAAATTTAACGGTATAAATTAACGAATTCAAATTCAACGGCCAACAGTGTACAACTTGATGGCTAATTTTTACTGAATACTGTTCGATGGAAACTCAGTAAATTTCTTTCTTTGGGCGAGTAAGACATCTTATTCTCTCCATTTTGTTACTGACAAATGTTTCCTCTCAACGACCACAGCTATTATTTGTATATTTGTTACCTTCTTCTGTAAAAGTAGCTAAAAGTGATATTCGTGGTATTGTATTTGACGTATTGGCGATATTGCTCAGAGGCAATATACATACAGTTTTTCAATTAACTGTTTGCAAAATGAAAAAATCACAAAATCTCTTTTCAATTTTTTTTAAGTGAAACTTATTTATTTTCCTTTTTTTATTAATTAGTATTGTTAATATAAGTAGTCTTAACAAATATTACTTGCAGTAAAAACGAACATTAAAACCGAACAGTAAAAAAAAATAAAAAATTTTAAATTCGCCAAATTGTGCGTTGTTAATTAATTCTTTGCAACAATTAATAAATAAATAATACGTAGATAACTTAGCGGTACGACAAATTTGAAAACGAGTGAACGCGTGCGTCATAGCTATGCATTGCTGTATTACATTCAATTCGATTAATGTTTTAGACGGTTCAGATCTTGTTGATTTAGCGCTCTTAAAAATGCCTTGTAAACGAACTAATGAAAATCTTATTCAATTAGTTTATTTTAACTACCAAAAAAGGACATCGACTAAGGAATTAGCGGAAATGTTCTCCATCAAGCTTAAAACGATTTATAATATTATATTATACAACGCGCAGAAAAAGAAAAAAGGTTGAAATTAAAGCACTATGGAGGTAGGCCACCGAAACTTTCTAGACGCGATCATGCAAAAATTTTAAAGCAGATCAGTGATAATTCTCATAGCAGTAAGTCACGAGACAATCCGAAATCTGAAAAATACACAAGCACTCCTCGCAAATAGCTTGAAAGAAACCATTGTTGTCGGTAGTTAATATTGAGAAGCGGCTCAGCTTTTCTATTACCAATGCTTACAGGACTGCGGAATACTGGGATGACAAGACAAAAATAATTTTATACTATCATGATTAACCCAGTAAAGTTTGGAGAAAACCCAACGAAGCTTTGCAACAGAAAAATATAATTCCAACAGTAAAATTTGGTAAGCTTTCTGTAATGGTTTGGTGTTGCATTTCGTCGACGCTTTTATTAAGGTCATTTAGGTATACCTGAAAATTAGATTTAACCAATCTTATTCAGCCTATGCCCCTTCGCCTTCGAGCTGTTATATGTAGATGGAAGTGGCCATCATACCAATTATTAGTACCAACACTGCTGTATTTTCCCAGTTTTATTTATATTTGCAATAATGGTTTAAAAAATGCAAACATATCTGGAATTCAGGGGTTTGTGTGCAATATAATTTAAAAAAACATGTTAAAGAAAATTACTTTAGTTAATAAAAATTCAATTAAAAAATGAATTTGTGAATGAATTTTATGCAAATCCAAATCCATCAACTCTCAAGACAGTTGACAAGATGTTGACCCGTATTTTATTCGGCCAAGGGTTGCCCCCCTTTCGTCGACCTAACCCCGTTTAGGTCAACAGGTAACATTAGTTTAAATTCACCAACGGAGCAACACCTCGCAGCTGGGTTGATCCAAATTCTTCTTATCAAGGCTGCCGTTTAAATCAACCCTGTTGCGACGGATTACTTCTGCTACGTGGGACAGAAAAGACTCTACCACTCCTCCATCGCGGTTACCTGCTCAGGCCTTAAGACCCATAGGAACGGGACCACAAGCTAAGTGGCCCCATGCTGCCAGCGCCCAAGTGTGCCCCAGCCTCCACGGCAGTGCCTTCAGCGCCTTTACCTACTTTGGGTAACCAGCAGACCTCTACGGCGTTCAGGCGATGCCGAGAACGAGATATTTAATATATACATTCCTCCTGTTACAAGTTGCCCAGCAGAATAAATCCCTGATATATGTGCGCTACTCAGAGCCGAGACCCGTTTGGTTTTGGTAGACTTTAACACGCATCACGATCTCTGGTATTCAAGCCTGTCAATGACAGAACAGATAGACGATTCGACATTCTGCACAATGAACGATAACACCCCCACCAGAGTTATGGGTAAATGCCAAAGCTCGCCGGATGTAACAATTGCGAGTGCAAGTCTGATAAACAGTAAAGTCTGGCGACTTGTACTGACACTAGCACCGGACCACTTACCCATACAAATCTCGATTGACAGGCCACCTAACTTTGTTTCCGAGCATCACCGGACATTTGTCAACTTTAAAAAAGGTAACGGGTCCGGCTTCGCGGAATTCACCGAGAACGCCTTTAGTGCCTTCCCCACTCCATCAGATGTCACTACTGGTGAACGTTACTTCCGCAGACTTTCTCACTAAGGTCCTCAGTGTGGAAAATCGGCAGGGTAGTCCCGCTACTCAAACCGGGGAAACCAGCCAACAAAGGAGAGTCTATCGGCCGATAACTCTCCTCTCCCCAGTTGCGAAGACACTTGAGGCCTTCCTGCTTCAGACCTTTACTCACCATCTGCGTCCAGCAGCACATCAGCATGGCTTCCAAAAAGTGCACAGCTCTTAAGCCATAAACACCCAGATGGTCAATGGCCTTATAGGCACCTAATGGAAGGTGAACCTCTAGATAGGCACATCAGGAAGGAAGTACTCGACTTAAAAAAACCTCATCCGGCAATATGTACAACAGCCGCTGGGCAGGACGGCGTACCTACAGGCACTAAACGCCTTTCACCAGGATTTAGTCAACACCTTAAAGACTCCCTTTCAGCGAATGACGCTTGGAGTAAAATCACCACCTATTGCAGACAACGAGCTCGAGTTGACAAGAAACCCGCGAGGCCTTTGCACAACTTAGGTCTGGATATTGTGAACAGTCTCCGTACGACACTAACCACCTCTTCACATGCCCCTTAAACCGACTCATCTAACTCTCCTCTCCCTTTGGTCCACTCCCGTCGAAACATCACTTAGATTGATCAAACCTGTACATAATCGGGTCTTTCCAACCCCGTTTGTCCAGTCGCAACAAAAAGGGAATTTGGATTCAGCCCTAACAAGGATTTGCTATGAAAATTTGGAGACAAGCATGAGTAGTTTGGAATGATTCTAAAACTATAAAAAGACTTCGACGGAATTAAATTGTAAGCTGGACTTTTCCCCACATCTCGGATTAACTAGTCGATATCTTTCTGATCAAGGTTTCGGAGCCGTCGTTTCTGCTTTTTGCTGTGTGGCGCCAATCGGAAATACAAAGTACAGCCAGGTCCTTCTCTACCTGGTCTTTCCAACGGAGTGGAGATCTGCATCGTAAACCTTCAAAGCTGGAGTATACGCATCCACACAGATCACTTGACCTAGCCAGCGTAGCTGCTGCTTCTTGATTCACTGAACTATATCAATGTCCCGTATAACTCGTACAGCTCATCGTTCCATCGTCTGCGGTATTCGCCGTTTCCAATGCGAGAAGGACCATAAATTTACGCAAAGCCTTTCACTCGAAAACTCCTAACGCCGACTCATCAGATGTTGCCAACGTCCATGCTTCCGCACCATATAGCAGGACGGGAGTGATGCGGGACTTGTAGTGTTTGGCTTTCGTTCGCGAGAGAGGACACCTATTGGCAAGAGTTATTCTGGATTTCAATGCTGACATTATGGTTGGTGTTGATGCTGGTTTCTAGATAGACGAAATTATCTACGGCCTCTAAGTTATGACTGTCAACAGTGACGTGGGAGCCAAGTCGCGAATGGAGAGGTCCTTGCCGCTCCTGACGGAGCTTTTAGTGCTGCTTAAGGTCAGATTACTCAGCTGTATAAATTTGTGAAGTTCAGAAATAGCGGCGTTCTGTCGAATTCGGCTTTAAAATCGACGAAAAGGTGGTGGGTGTCGATCCTCTTCTCAAGGGTCTTTGCCAAGATTTGGCGCATGGTGATTAGCTGGTCAATGGTTGACTTACAAGGTCTAAAGCCACACTTAGAAGGTCCAATCAGTTTGTTGACGGTGGGCTTTAATCTTCACGCTCAATGTACCCTTATATGCTCTGTGTTCCCACAGATCCCTTATGCCGGGTTGCTGATGAGTACTCTTAGAAAACCGCTCGGGAGTCGGCTGTGATTGCAGCTTTTCAAACCCTGCTTGTGTTTGTTGACGGGAGTTCTTCGATACACAGAAGAGGATCGGTTATTACTACTGCGAGAGTTTGATTTCTTTAACGAAAGTTAGTTCGATGTTATTAATTTTGATTTTCGCTGATTTCGTTTTCCCAGTAAAAGCAATGCCTT